TTGAACACCTTAACTAAGCCATTTTCCATCGGTATTTTACCAAAACTTTCTGGTTTAAATTTCTATTCCATGTGTTATTATTCTATTTTATTCATCTCTGTTTTGTAGGGTTCTATTTGATTCATTTTTATTTTGTAGGGATTGGCATTCATGAATTACTACCAAATTGTGAGCATCAAATGTGTGCTAGGCACATATGGTCTAACTGGTCAAAATTTTGGAGAGGTGAGGAGATGAGAAAGCAATTTTGGAGGTGTTCTAAGGCTAGTTTTGAGGTGAAGTTGACAGAAAAACAGGCTGCGCAGGAAAAACTTGGAAAAAATATATGTGAAAGCCTATTGAAGTGTAACAAAGAATATTAGTGTAGAGCGTTTTTTTTCTTGAATACTCCAAATGTGATATTGTAGTAAATAATATATGTGAAACCTTTAATTTATGGATATTGACACCTAGGCACAAGTCTATTATTAGCATGTTAGAAGACATTAGACATAAAGTATGTAGGAGACATGTTGATATGATAAAGTTTGTAGAGACTTGGATTACAGACATTTCTCCTATGGCAAGGGTGATTCTAGAAGAAAATAAGGAGTGTTCTAGGAAATGCAAAATTTTGTGGTTTGGAACTGATGGGTTTGACGTTGAAGAGCATGAATACAAATATATAGTGAACTTGAGGAGAAGAACAAGCACTTGTAGATTCTGGCAGTTAAGAGGGATCCCTTGTGCACATGAAATATGTGCAATCTATCACCAGAAAGAAGAACCATACAATTATATGGATCACCGGTATAGAAAGGAGATATTTCTCAAGGCATATTAATACTTTCTTGAAGCAATCCCCAATATGAAGATGTGGCCTCACACTAATAATATGGTAATTGAGCCTCCAGCACCAAAGCCAATTCTAGGCAGCTCCTCCTCCCCCGAAAAAAAAGGCCAAGACTGAGCCGAAAAAAAAAGGAAGTATGGCAAGCTCTCCAAGCAAGGAGTGAAGATGACATATTCAAAATATCATCAAGCAGGCCATAACAAGTCTTCCTGCCAATCAAGGGTAAGTTGTAATATTTTCACCTTTTTATTCACTTCAAATGCTAACTTAAATAAGTGTTATATTGAAATTCTTTTAGGGTAGAATCGGAGAGTCTACAAGTAGATAATCAACTCAAGCAACTCAAGAAATCCAAGGAAGTCAAGCAACTCAAGAATTAGGTGCAACTAATACAAGCAGTGGCAGAGGAAGGGGAAACAATACTAGATTTGGCAGCGGTGTATTTCCAAATGCACCTCCAACAACTGCTCCTAGAAAAATTACTGTTGGGGTTAAAAGAGCAAGGGGGAAGAGGTGTTGAATCTACACCACCATATGATGGACAAAAAAAGCTAAGAAATATTTGTTTTGGATGTTACACCAAGCCTAAAACTTGAATGACTGTAACGATCCGACCGGTCGTTTTGAGCTCTAGCGCGTCGTTCAACAGTTTGAGGCCATGAGCAGCTTCACTTCAGGTATTATGACTTGTTCATATGGTCGGAATTGAATTTCAGGAAGTTCGGAGTTGATTTGGAAAGAGAATTCTCATTCCGTAAGCTTTAAGTTGAAAGAATTGACTAAGATTAGATTTTTGAGTAAACGACCTCGGAATCGGGATTCGAAGGTTCCAGCAGGTTCGTATAATGATTTCGAACTTGGGCGTAATCCGGATTGGGTTTTGGGAGACCCGGGAACGTTTCGGCACCTATTGTGGGTGTTAGCATTTTTGGAAGAATTTTATAAGTTTGGATTGAAGTGCATTTCAGTGTTATCGATGTGCGTTTGGGATTTCGAATCTGGGAATAGCTCCGTATGGTGATCCTGGTGTTGGGAGCACGATCAGAAGTGAATTCGGAGGTCTGTGGGTCATTTTGGAGTCATTTGGCTAAAGATAGAAATTTGAAGGTTTTGATAAGTTTGACCGGAGGTGGACTTTTTGATATCGGGATCGGATTCCGATCCCGAAAGTTGGAGTAGGTCCGTAATGTCAAATATGACTTGCGTGCACAATTTGAGGTCAATCGGACGTGATTTGGTAGGTTTCAGCATCGAATGAAGAAGTTTGAAGTTCTAAAGTTCATCAAGTTTGAAATGGAGTGTGATTCATGGCTTTAGCGTTGTTTGATGTAATTTGAGGGCTCGAGCAGGTCCGCGTTATGTTATGGGACTAGTTGGTGTGATTGGATGGGGTCCGGGGGGCCTCGGGTGGATTCCGGGTGGTTAATGGATCGAATTGGAATTTGGAGGAAGAACTGAAGCTGTTGCCTTCTGGTGTAACCTCACCTGCGAGACTTGGGCCGCAGGTGCGGAGCCGCAGAAGCGGCTAGGAGGGACGCAGATGCGGTGTTTGGACAGAAGTGAAGAGACCACAGATGCGGTCATGTAGCCGCAGAAGCGGGACTGCATCCGCGGTAGTTGAGGCACAGAAGCGGAAATGGGAGCCTGGTGAGAAACCGCATGAGCGGTAGAGGGGTCGTACCTACGGAACCGCAGAAGCAGTCCTGTGACCGCAGGTGCGGAAATGCTGGAGGCAGTAAGGTTCTTTAAATCGGGGGTCTTAGCTATTTTCTTCCATTTTACTCTTGTTTGGGCGATTATTTGAGAGCTTCAAGAGAAGGATTTCATCATCAAACATGAGATAAGTTAATTCCACCCCTTGTGAGTTAAATACATGATATTATTACGGATTTGAGCAAGAAAAATTGGTAGAAACTTGGGGTTTTGGTGGAAAGACATAGGATAGGTATTTTTGGATAAATTAAGAGTAAATTACATGTTTGAGTTCGTGAAGTTATGAGTAAACCTTATCTTCGAAAAATTTCGAAATATGGGCACGTGGACCCGAGGGGGATTTTATCAACTTTCGAGCGGAGTTGGGATTTTATATGAATTGAATTGTTACGAATATTAGGGTGTATTTTCATTTGTTTTGCCCGTTATTTGGCTAGTTTTGGAGCGTTGGGGCATCGGTTTGAGTCGTTGGAAGGGCTTGGAAGCCAGTCATTGGACTTCGGAGCAAGGTGAGTCTTCTTTCTAACCTTGTAAGAGGGAATTGTCTCCATAGGTGAATTAATTGGATTTGCGCTCCTATTTGTGGGGGCTACGTATGCACGAGGTGACGAGAGTCCGTGCTTAGTTACTACTATATTTAAGTCCGGGTAGTTTAGGACCCAAAAGCATGTTATACTTGGAATATTTGTAATCTTATTGTCAGTTTGAATTGCTTAAATTACATCGAACTAGTAAATGAATTTCTAAAAATGTTAAACTTTATTTTCTTGAATTGTTAAAAGAGAATTGGCTATTCTTTGTATAATTGTTCCCTGATGAATTCTTGATTGACTGATTGTTGTGTTTATTTATATTTGACCGCGTTGCATGTATAATTTGAGAGCGGGGTAATAGATGCATCCATGGTGCGCACCATTCGACCTTCTGGCAGTGTAGGGTTTAAATATTGCTGGATCGGTCCGTACGACCTCGGCATGATTTGCGCATGCTTGTATTGATTGCTTTGAAATTTATTGAAGTTGATATTGCTTCTTCCCGGTTTGAGAATATATGTATAAATGATGAAAAAGGAATTTGGGAATTTCACATAAAAGAAATTATTGTTTACTTGCTTCACTCTATTGAATTACAATCATGTTTATACAAAATCCTCGATTTGTCATATTATTGATATATTATTAATGGACCACTAGTAAGTGTCGAAGTCGACCTCCCGTCTCTACTTCTTCGAGATTAGGCGGGATACTTACTGAGTACACATTGTTTTTGCACTCATGCTACACTTGCTGTGCATTTTTGTTGCACAGGCACATGCATCTCTAGCGGCCTAGTGGGCATAGCAGCATGGTTGATACGGAGACTTAGGTGAGCTGCACTTCTCGAGACGACCCGCAGCCAGCAGAGTTTCTTTCAGATTTTCATATTTACTTTCTGTCCTATTTGTATTCTGGGCAGTTGTTTTATTATATTGCTTCCTAGAGATAGCTCATGCACTTGTGACACCGGGTTCTGGGATGATTATGGGATTATTTAATATTGAGTTTGTTAAAGACATCAATATCTATTCAGTGAAACTCATTACTTATTGTTTAATGTATAAAAGAAACGATTTCGAAAATGTTAAAACAAGAAATTTCGAGTAAATTGGTATTGGCTTGCCTGACAATGGTGTCCGGCGCCATGACGACCCTTAGTAAATTTTGGGTCGTGACAGTGACTGTCATTAATGTAAGGATTGCCTATTTATAACTTCGACATGTTATTACCACTATGACTAATCTATATGCTTTTATGTAAATTTCAGTCTGGTACTTCACGCAAGAGAGTTGTATCATATGGGACCAAGGTTGTGAAGGATACCAGTGAACTCAATATATATCTTGGTTTTGAACCTCCTCGGCTTAAGTTTAAATGCAGAAATGCTATAACTATTTTCCAGCTACAACAACTAAGTGCAAACAGGAGAAACCAAATGGGATCTTCATCAACTACCTCTTCAGTTGCAAGTCCAGCTCCTCCAGCACCATGATGCAAAAAAGCATCCTCAAGAATATAGTTGTGTTAGGATTATGCTATTTTGAGTTCATGTATATCCAGACTTGGATTGATTATTATGTCTTTTTTGGGTCACTAGTTGTCACTACTTTGAGTTGTAAACACTTTAGTTATTTGGAAATATGACTAGTGTTGTAAACACTTTAGTTGTGAATGCAATTTAAATGCTATTGGTAGCTTCAGCTTTCATGTTATTCGTTGCTTTTATAACATCAGTTGGTAGCCTCGACAACCGTTGCATCAGTAATAGCAGTGCTTTTTTTTCATAAGTTGGACTGTATGTGCTTGGTAAATCTGGAGGATGGTAAGCTGTGATGGACGTTTGTTAAGACATATCAGTTGAGTTCAATTTACAACTTCAACATGTTAGCACCTTGAATTCCATATTTGAACCAATACATAAAAAGAATGGCAGAAAATTTCTTCATTTCATTGAAATAAGGCCACAAGCCACAATTACATTCAAGCAAACTACTAGTTAAGACACACCCAAAATATATCAACCACCACTACAAACACAAAATACAGCAGCTAAGACATAGATGACATAATGACCAAAAAAAGCTTCTGCTCCAACCACCAGCAAAACCACAACAACTTCAACGATCGACGGCACAGTAGCAAACCCAGATAATTAGCATTATTACTATAATAGAAGCCAATTTCCTCCTCCATATTCTTGCTCGAGCCCTTTCTTCTTCAAAAGTTTTGACTCTGTTCGATAAATCCCAAATAACCCTATTCGCTTGGCTAGGAAACTCATCATCAACCCACCTAAAATACTTACATCCACCTTTGTCCTTAAAAAAAAAAAATTGATTCAAACTAAAATTGGGGCAACATAGTAAAATAATTAATTGTAGTTAATTAACACTTACTTTTTCAATTTTACATCCATATAACCTCCTTCCAGGATTAGATGGAGACCATGAATTTTTAATTGACATTCATGACCACATCGATATGAATCGACTCTTGGTGTGAGAGACATTATCCACAAAATTGAGAGCTTAAGCCAAAATTCGAACACTCAGGCGAGACTACCTTCAATTTGGAGAGAAGGGTAAATTTTTTAAAAAATCAAGAAAATGGTGAAGAAATAGAGCTGGATTTAAGAGATAGAGTAAAGGGGACGAGGGTTTATATAACAGGGAAGGGGTGTATTTTTACCATTTGTATTTTACCGTTGAAATAGTTTTTGTCAAATATTTTTAATGTTCACGCGCTCAACAGCAGTAATGCTCACGTTATTTGCCATGTCAGTCGAACGTGTTAAAATGGTACAGTAGAGGTAGAGTTAAAGTGTTCCGGTGGAAAATAGCTTAGTTGATGTGTTCAAATGAAATTTCTGTGATAGTTAAAGTCTCTATTTATGTATTCTGCCTATTATATATTTTATATGAATATATGGATTCATTTGTTTCTTTTTATTCTTACTTAAGGTGGATGATTAAAGATTATCTGTCCGTTTCTTTTGTATGTAGAGCTTCAAATTTTGAATGTCTTGATTCATTTTGTTATTGTTATTGCTAATGCAAAATACATAAAGAGACACCTAAAGTTGGCCCAATATGTCTATATCACACTCCAACTTACCAGGTGATCATATAGACGCTTCAAGTTGACACAAATGTGTCTCATGAACACCTGAATCTGACAGATTACATGCGTAAGACACAATCGCGGATGACGTGGCAAACAAAATAAATTAGTGAGTGACACATGTAATTTCTATTCAAAAATATTTAATCTTTTTATGTGGATTAAAAATTTAATTATCACAAACCCAAACACTTTTATATCACAAACACAAACAAAATAGAAATTAAAAACAAGAAATTACCTCAAATGTTTCTCTGCAAATTAGATAAAACAACCGTGGTGGTGCTTTGAATTTTTTGAAAAAAATCGTGGTTTTGATGACTGAACTGGAGGATAACTTTGGAGCTGATATGGTATTTTGTGTTATGGTGGAGTAAAAGCGTTTTGGCGGTAATACATGACGCTATTGGTGCTTGGAGAAGTGGGGTTAATGGAGGAAGAAACTGAAATTTTTGGTGATAAGTCGGAGAAGATGGTGGAGGTTCACGACATTTTTAGTGGTTTTCGAGTGGGCTCATGGAGAAAATATGGAGGATGGTGGCGATGAAAGATGGCGAAGAGAATGTTCTTTGGCTACATCTTTTGACCGATGAAAATTGGATCTGAAAATGATGGAGATAGGAAGGTCGGCTGCCAAGGTGGCGGCGGCTACGGTGGCAGAAGGGTGGTGCTCGTTATTGCTTGATTAAGGATGAAGAAAGTGGGCCCCACATGAAAAAAATAAAACAAAAATATAATTTTAAGAGCTTTCAGGCGGCCAAAGTTGTGTGAAAATCAAATATTTTGCCATGTCATCTCAGCGTGTCCACAAGACATACTTGTGCTAAGTTGAAGTGTTTATATGGCCCCTTGTAAGTTAGGATGTGAGATAGATATATGGGATCAACTTTAATTATGTCTTTATGTATTTTGCCTATTACTAATATTGAAACCTTACTTTAACTAGTCAATTTATTGTAAAACATTTTTTCTATTTACCTGTCATTCCTACCCATTGAAAAGTCTAATTATCTTCAAAAACGTTTGATTGATAATTATCTTGAAAAAAAAGGTAACAAGTTCGAATATGGATATTTTAAAATTTAAAACCTCTTGAAAATTTAGGGATAACGAAACTTTGGTGCGATCCGAGTGAGTCGTACTTACTTCCAGCTAGCGTAATTCGAAAGAATATGTCTAACAAATTGTGGTAGTTACCCGGGATAGAATTACAACACACAGAGCGCTCATGATCGGTAGAGAATACTTAGGAAAAATTATAGAAGACGTAGCGGGAAGGATTTCGACAATTAGGAATATCATAACTCTAGACCTCCTTCATCTTTTCTCCAACCCGTAGTATCTTTAGTTGTTAATCTACTACTTTAATTATTTAGTTAATTATATATAAGAATCTTAATATTTATAACTTTGGAATTGTTTGAACTTATCTTCTTAGTGATAGTCAACAACTGTAGCTAAGCCTTAGTTCTCTGTGGGATTCGACTCCGGACTTTAGACAGGATTATATTTGCAATGACCGCTTAGTCCTTTTTATAAGGCATAGTTGGGTATGATCGTTGCTCTTCGTGAGTCCCCATCTTCTTGCCAATTATGATAATTAGCAGTGAAGTTATCCAGTAGAAGCTGGGTCTCACTATACGACCTCGCCATGCAACGACCCCCACAAGCTGAATCAAGATTCATCTTTGATGTCTCGTCTAACCCATCAACAAAAGTGTGCCCCAACACCTCGTTAGTCTGACAATGATGCGGACAGTCTCTGAATAGCTTCTTGTATCTTTCCCAAGCTTGAGGAAGTGTCTCACTATCCCTTTGTTGGAACCCAAGAATCTGGCTCCTCAGCGACTTTGTATTCTTAGTGGGTAAAAACTTGATTAAGAATTTCCTTGCTAGATCATCCCAAGTGTGTGCTCCTTTTGCAACCATTCCTTAGCTCCCCCCAGCAGTGAAAAGGGAAACCGTGTCAGCCTGACATAGTCCTTGGAAACGTTTGGATAATTGTATGTGTCCGTAATTTCCAAGAAGTTTTGAATGTGCCTCTGTGGGTCTTCATGAGATAGACCCACATATTGTCGTGTGGACTGAATCAGATGTACCATGTACTGTTTGAGTTTAAAATGCCCCGTGATATTAGGCTTCACAATAGCCTGAGTTATATTAGCAAGATTGGGCCTTGCGGCTTCTATCACCGAACGCTCTTTATTACCTGCTATCTCTATTGGTTGTGGTTGAACTACGATGTCCAACTCTCTTTCTATTCTAGTTCTAGCTTCGACTTCCTTCCTCACTCTGTAAGTGTTCGTTAGTTTCAGGATTAAGAGGAAGGATGTTGTTTGCGCTTCTACTCCTCCGCATTCAAGAGAAGAGCCTGCGTTAACACAAACAAGGCAAACCAAAAATTAAGACTTGAACAAATAACCAATAAAAGCTTAACTCAGTCAAGTAGCTAATTTCAAAGTCCCCGGCAACGGCGCCAAAAACTTGTTGCGATCAAACACACTCACGCAAGTATACGTGATTGTCAAGTAATAGAGTAGTGAGTAGAGTATCGTTCCCACAAAGACTTAAGACTAACTTTTGACTAAATCAAACTCAAACAACTTATTGATTCAAGAGATTTTTTTAGAAAATATATAAATGACTAATTTACTACCTAAAACTATCAAGGAATGAAATAACTAAAAATCAACCACAACACTTAAGCAATTTCGGATAACAATCGGTAGGAGAGGATATTCCAGGTCACAGGTTAACTAACAATCATGTTGCGCTCTTGGTTTAAAATGACTAATTGATTTTTCTGGATTGTTGATTGACAGAGTTGATGTTACTCATAAGAATCTGTCGAGTTCTTACTTGCCTATTCAAGCTAACTTAATGGCTATATGTCTATGGAATTAAGATTAACAAGAATGCATTTACACTTACTGTATTTCAACCAAGCAAGGAAACTAGGTATATTTCTATCCTAATTGCGAATCTGTTCCCCGATGTCCGGGTTCAAGAACCTGCTCTATTTAATTTATATGTAATCTAGAATTCTCACTTTCGAGTTCAACTTTAGATTCGTAGATAGTATTTCACTTTTAGCTACTCAGCAAAATAATTAAAAACAAAATTAAATAAACAACCCAATATGATAAAATCAAATTTGTCAATTTAAACTTCAAACATTAATAATAATTAATAGGTAAATATAATAAAAGTTTAAAATGACCGCTCGGCGTATACCATAAACACTCTCGAACTGAACATAAACACTCCAAACCCGGAATCTCATGAATCACAAGCTAAACGAAGTACATAGTGTTCTAACTCCAGAAATCTAACAACAAAGAAAACTACAAGAAGTCTATAACTGAAGGAGGAATAGAGAGGGACTTCTAGGT